TTTAGTTTGAGTTAAATGCATCAGCTGCACCTAAACTTGTCAAGGGATGTCATTTAAATACTTGAACTTTAAAAATACATTTCTAGGTCAATAAACTTGTAAAATGGTGCAGTTGCACCACAAGAGTCAGTATCGTCCGAGAAATGGATTTGCAAAGGCACGATTTTAAAAGTTTGGGGATGTGCAGTGCACTACTTAATAGGTATAGGGACCAGAAATATGTTTTCAAAGTTTGAGGACCTAAATGGCTCGTTGACAAGTCCAAGAAGCGTTGATGCATTTAACTCTTCTAGTTGTTATTAATAAAGGTATGAGGGTGAATTAGAAGCAAATTTAGGGATAAATTTACATAGTCAAGTCTTTTATATAATAATATAGGTGGATGCAAATTTAGGCGGTGCTTTTAGATTATCATTTTAATGAGGTAGGTCAGAAATTATATGCATAATTAGATGGTTACTTTATTTATGTTTAGTGTTATCTTATAAATAGCAAATTTAATTATTTTTTATAACATTGAATAGACATAAGGTTTATAATTGTCAATGATGATTAGAGCCTACCAATTAATGGTAGGTGGGTGTTTCTATTTTTTATGTAGAATTTATCTTATTTTCAAGCACAAGTAATGCGAAGGCTGTTGAGAGACTCCAATTTGCAATTTTATCTTTTTTTTGTAGAATTTATCTTATTCTCAAGCACAAATATTTGGTGCCATGGATGTTGTTACCCTTTCACATAAAGTTGATCAAATTTAAGATAGTATGATTTAGAGTGATTCAAGAAATCGATTTATTTTGAGACGAATGTGGTATGGACGTTTTTGGCACACCGGCCAGAGGTTACATGGACGACTAAAGGATACAACTTGGAGCGTCAGAGCGCCCGCAGAGCGGAGAGCCGGAAACAGTAAAATAAGATTGAGATTTTGAAGTTGTAGTGCCACCGCTGTTTACACTTGTACATCCCCAAAATTACATTGCATCATCGTTCTGACTTTTTAAATCCAATTTGGTCGGTCTTTGGTCTTTGGTTAAATTTTTGGTGGTCTTTAGTTTTTGAGAGAAAAAACACTGTTAATTGTCTAATTTAAATTTGTTGACCGAAACAAACAAATGAGCAAGTACGGGTTCATATATTCACTAGCCCTCCGAACCGACCGTATTTCACAAGGTTTTGTCTTGTATCTGTTACAGTTTGTACTGCCGCCTCAGTGACAAGCTAAAGGCAATATATGCAGCACCCAGGAATAATCTAATATAAGATGTAGCCTGTAGGTATACATTCAGAGTCTGAAATACATACTAGTCTGGTAGGATAATCCATACGTATTTCATTCCACGAAAGCAAGAACTACAGCCAAAATATGAGGCCCAAAGAAGTGGAGGAGAGACGCTATTGGTCCACTGCCATGCATGGCTCTCCGTCAGCAGTAGTCGTTGCAGCATGGCTCTACAGTTCTAGCCTGCTTGGATCAGGATACTAACGTGTATGTAGTGTAGTAGCAAAAACCCCTCGGCCGCGTACTTACGCACTAGTGCATGCATGCAACCCATCCCTAAAACCCAAAGGATTCGTCCTGCTGCAGCACGCGTCAGAAACCCGCGGAGAAGGATGGATGGATGTCCCCCGCGGCGCGGGGGAAGTTCGTGGCGCGCGCGTTCCTTTTGTTCAGACGCGCAGCGCGGGCGCCCTGGCGAACCCGGCGTCGACCCACGGGTGGTGGTTGGCCTTCCGCGGCTGCGGCTGCTGGTGGTGCTGATGGTGATGGTGGTGGTGGTGGTGCCGGTGCTCCCTGCTGCGCGCGGTCAGCGCGTGAGCCGCCGCGCGCTTCTTCCGCCGGTGCTTCGCCCTGTCCACCTCGATCTGCTGCTGCCTGCACTCCTCGCTGCAGAACGGCGTGTCACCTCTGCACACGCAAATCACTAAGCCTCTCTGATCCGTGCACGCATCTGTCGTCTTGGATATACGCAAAAAAAAAGGAAGAAGAAAGAACGGTCGTGGCGGCGACCTGTACATGAAGATGTCGCCGGAGAGCGACTTGGTGCAGAGGGAGCACTCCTCGAGGAAGTGGTGGATCTGGACGACGTCCGCCTCGTGGACGTAGAACATGGACGACGGCTTCATGGCACCGCCCCCCTTCATGCCGCCTGCCTGCGTCGCTGGGGGACGAAGAGAGGGAGCACCGCCGCGTGATGGCGAGGGCCTGGCACCGGTATCCCGAGGAGCTCGGCTAGCTTGCGGGACTCTCCGGGTGTGGCCGGGCCGCGTTCAAGTAGTGCACCCGGCGCGTCCATTTTTAGCCGCCGAGCGACGAGGAACGAGGAGCGGCTGGGAATTCACGGTCGCCGGGAGCCGGAGATAGTACTATGAACAGGACAACAACGTGGCTAAAATTAAGCAGAGACTCGATCTTGTCTTAAATTTATTATTATATTACTATTCTTTCTTGCTCTGTTCTTCTATTTCGGAACAGATCTATGGCCACTAGCTAGATGCATTGCATCACGTTCGTGCCAACTTAGCAAAGGGCGAGAAGTTTTTAAGGATGCTAATGAAAGATCTACCACCACTAGGAACATGCTCGTGCTTGCATTGCCAGCTTGGCCCTGCTCATATGTGAACGTACATCCTCCAGTGAAACGACAAACTGATGTCGACCACGTCAATGTCTTCTCGAACCAAAAAAAAAGTACCGAAACTACAGTGCGATTCCACATGTACATGACCCCAAATTTTCTACCCCTACCGAGGCCACTGTCTCGGCAAGGCGGAACGAGGACATCTCTCTGATAAAAACATTCGTGTCGCCTTCACCGCGCGTCTTTTACCTCTCCAAAGCGATAAGAACTGGCTAGGGTCCAGTTTAGTTCGAGAAAATTTTGCCAAATTTTTCAGATTCCTCGTCACATCGAATTTTTGGACGTATACATGAAGCATTAAATATAAATAAAAAATAAAACTAATTACACAGTTTAGACGAAATTCACGAGACGAATCTTTTAAGCCTAATTAGAATATGATTGGACACTAATTATCAAATAACAACGAAAATGCTACAGCGCATTTTGCAAAAAAATTCGCCATCTAAACAAGCCCTAGCTAGCAGCGCACATCGTTTTCCGTACCGTCCAGGACGCGATTAAAAACCGGTGGCGACATGCACCTCGGCTCGTTCAAACTTTGGCACCCCCAAGAGGTCGACAGCCCACCCCCGTCCAACGCGCCGAGAGGTGGACAGGCAGGCGGCGATTCGATTCCACCGCGACATGCCCGCTTTCGTGCCCGTACGCGTTCGTCTTCTTCCTGGCGTTCCACCCGGACCGTCACGCTGCAGGCTGCAGCAACCGCCGTCCACGAAGGCACAGGCTAGCATGCTTCACATCACATGCGCGCACGGCGTGGTGGCCTGCTGGCGCGGTCCTGTGCGTGTAGGCAGCGGAGGGGGGCAGGGGCTGGTGGCGCGGCGCAGCGCCAGGACGTCCTGGCACGCGCATGCGGAGAGGAGGCATGGGCGCGCGGCCGCGACACGTGCGACGCCGGCGTGGGTGCCCCCCCGAACCACCGGCACCCGGTGAGATGCCGCTCGCGCAGCGCAGCGAGTGTTCCTTGCGAGCTACGGTCGCCAAGGGCACACACGGCCGCACGCCGGCAGACGGTGCGCTGCGGTGCGCGCGGTCGTGGAGCATGGAGGGATGGAGGCCGTGGCCGCGTAACGTGGCGGGCGGAATCCGAGTGCTTTGTTTAAGGATGAGATTGCCCAAAGGATTCCCGGCGGCACATGGACGGCAACTCGCAGGGGCGAGATGAAGAAATCTACGGCCCTCGAGAAAGATTTGTTTAGCCCAGGGTACGCAACGGTGCCAACTTGTGTACGCTACTGTCAGGCCCTCTAGAAGTAATAATGGACGGTGCTATTTGCACGTACGAGCACAACCGGCTTATGTCATCTAAGAGGCTGGCATGTGGGCCCGGGACAAGATTTGTGGTTTGTGGGTCCACCTTCCAGAGAGAGCCCATGAAGGAGTTAAGGGAGAAAAGGAACGTTGATAGTGCATTTGGGTATAAAAATCACCGTTGTCGCTGGCCATTAGCGGTGTGACCTCAGGTTTGTAAGCTTCCAGGAAGCAGGCCTCATGGACGACACATGACGCTCGGCTTTGCTTTGAGATTTCATTTCTTTATTACTGCCTCCGTGCTCCCTTTCTTTCGTGGGGAGCAACAGCCATGGCATATTCACAAGTTCACGGCCAAATTTTCCGCACTAATAATAAATACGGAGTAAACAATTTCTCCCAGGATTCTCTCTCTCTCTCTCTCTCTCTCTCTCTCTCTCTCTGAGTTTTCTGCTCAGCTGCTCGAACAACAAGCAGTGCCTTGTCCACTGTTTGTGCACAGTAAAAGGCGACAATGATCCGGCTGAGGTTTCTGCAGCCTGCAACGGGAATTCTGTTCACAGGACAGGAACAACTGAATAAATAATGGTCATAAGCATGATTTTTCTCCTTCACAGTTCACACCAAAACAAATGATTCTGCCGTGGCGGTAAGCAAGAAGACATCTAAGCGAGAAATCACTAGCTCAGAGGAAGGAGCAGCGGAAGACAGCTGAAAACTGACGAGAAATTCGAGGACTTCTTAGGCCTCTCACTTGTTTCATACTAACACGTATCGACACGTTACACGGCAATCCCACACGCAGCACGCACACCTTTTCACTCGTGCAACCGTGCAAGAGGAACAGAACCCGTGCAAACTCACGCTCAAACCAAACCCTTCCATTTCCATCTTTCGGAGATCAAGAGGAGGAGGTCATTCGATCGGTTTCGTCAACCACCGAAGTAAAAGACGCAGCCGGCCTGTGTCGTGGCCTTCTCCTCCGTCGAGCCGGCGATCCACACGCATCGTGGACCTTGCTTGGGGTTCTTCTTGTTCTTGAGGTGCAGCTAAATCCTACTACGTCCGTTCGTTCGTTTCCCGGCGCCCAAAATTTTGTCATCATCACCACGCCCATATGGGGATCCTCTGGGGGCTCTGCTTCTGCTGCCGCTGCCGCTGCTGCTCGGCCCGCCCCGTCTGCTTCAGCCGCTGCTCCCTCGCCTCGTCGATCTCGATCTGCTCCTGCCGGCACTCCTCGCTGCAGAACGGCATGTCACCTCTGCGATAACAAAAACAGCCACACCGCCATCAGTGAAACCATTCCTTCTTTCCTTCTTCCATGCCATGGAGATCTCAAACCCCCTGGATATTCTAGATTGGTGGTGGTGCTGTTGTTTACCTGTACATGAAGATGTCTCTGTTGCCAGACAGGAGTTTCCGGCAGCGGAAGCAGATGTCGAGGTAGTGGTGGTGGCCGTGGAGCTCGTCGGAGTCGTCGCAGGGGTCGCAGAACATGCGGCCGGGCCGCCTCGGCGAGGCCGCTGGCTTCAGAGGGGAGGAGGAGTGGCCGGAGAAGCCGGCCTCCAGGTCTTCGTAAGCCTCCGTGGAGACGGGGTGGTAGTGCGCCATTTCTCCTTGGCTCTGTGTCTGTTTCCTCGGCGAATTGGTGCTCTGCTTTCTCTTTTCCGCTTGGGAAAGGAAGGAAGTGGACTAGTGGAGTGCGGGGAAGCCGAGAGCGAGGGGATTTATATTTTGGAGGGAGATGGAAGGGGGAAGGGGGAAGGGGGAATTTCTCATTTTGGTCCTCGGTTTATTTGTGGGGTTTAAACTTTAAAGTAACCGTCTCGCGTCTTTATGCCCAAGTGGAGCCAAATTTTTTTATCTCTCTCACTCTCTCTTGACTCTTTATTTATGATTGATGCGATGCTAACAAAGGTAGAAAAGAGCAGAGATTTTGTCAGCTCACGCCATTTCCCGTCGATGACTGCAGGTGAGGCAGACGCTAAGAGCAGCGGCACACCTACGGCGCCGTCGAGGAAGCTCCGGCTGTTCGGCGTCAACCTCGATTGCGGCCCGGAGCCGGAGCCAGAGACGCTGACGGCAATGTACGGCTACATGCCTACATGCACCAGAGTCCCTACGCAGCAGTGTCCGCCGTTCCCAGTTACTGGTGGTAAGTAGTATTACAAACGGCGGCGACATGATTTGTCCTTTTATAGGAAAAAATTTGTGACTAGTGATCTGTGATACGTGTAGGCTGAAGGTTGGAGGTAGAAGAAGGGTGGAGGCTGTTGAATCTTAATTCTATGATGCAAAAAAATTTATGAGTTGAAACTGCATAAACACACATGGTTGTGTAGTAGATAGACTCTTTGCTTTTGCATTGGGCGGTTCAACCATTTTTCAGCACAACTTTTTTTTTTTTGATAAGTTGGTTTTTCAGCACAACTTTGAGGGCTTTTGTTACAACTTACAAGTGAACTGGAGAATATACTGCTGCTGTGGTTACTGTTGTTTCAACTTTGTTCACATTCCTGTCATAGTTCCTCTACCTATTCATTCAAGTGGGTGAAGATTATGATAAGAAATTAAGCAGATATTTATGAAGTAGACGTGTAGCTTGACTGCTTGAGTACCTACCCGTATATAATCAATTCAGTAAAATATGCGCGTCTCATTTGATTCACAGTCTTCAATAGACATTGGACCACTAGTTCTTTCTAGATATATTATTAAACCATTTTCAATTTCATGAGATTTTGAAAGCATTTTAAAATAAAGTTATAGCTTGCATATTTTAACACTAAATAATTTATAGCTATTTATGCTTATAGTGTTTTGAGGTTTGACTAAAATCTTTTCTAAACATACCAAATTGTGTAGCCACAGCGTGCATAATTATAGTACATAAACTAATATAGAACATACTCCCTCTGTCCCTAAATAGTCATTGTTTTCACTTCTCAAGAAACAACTTTGACTAAATATATATAAAAAAATATTAATATTTATGTTACAAAATTAATATCATTAGATAGATCGTTGAATCTATTTTCATAATAAATTTATTTGAAAATACAAATGTTGCACATATTTTTTTTATAAATCCAGTCAAACTTATGGCACAGAAACCAAAAGCGACAGTTATTTAGGGACGGAGGATGTATTGTTTTAGAATCTTTCATATGAAAACCGTAACAATACATAATAATGGGGGGAAATAGTCGCTCTATCTCAAATAAGTTGTTCTAAGTTGAATTGTTACCTTAAATTTAACCATATTTCTAGAAAAAGAAACTATATTATCTATAATACAGATTTGGTATTGTTACAGATACCATGGATTATATTTTAAAGTGTACTTATTTGTTGTCATAGGTATTCTTTTATATAACAAAGTTGGTAAAACTTAGAATAGTTTGAATTACAACAGATCTAGAAATTTGATATATCCTTCGGACAGAGAGAGAGAGAGCATATCTGACCACATTTATTTCCATTTTCAATAAAATGTTTTTTAAGAAGGGAACTAATAACCTTTTTTTTACAACAGGAACTAATTACCTTGGTGCCTTTTACAAAAAGATGCTCAATGTACATGCACACCTTTTATTTACAAGCTAGTAAATGCTAGTGCCTAACCTACGCCCCCTAGATTCGCATTTAGAAATTCGAGGTACGCTTTGCACGCATGGTTCCTTTGGTGAATGAATTATTCGACGCCGCGAGAAATCATTTGGCACGCGTAGCGTAGCACAGCGCTCTCTTTCTCCGGAAGGCGCCGTGGGGGTTTAGGCAAATGGCCCAAGTTGCACCGCCGCCCACGGCTGGCATCCTCGCGCGCTGTGAATCAGCCAGCCATCAGGTTGCCAGAGCAGGCAAAACCGGGTCCCGGTGGTGTGCCCCTGCACTAGTGCTTGTAGCAGTAGCGTTCCAGCGGGCAAACTCATGGCCTCATGGGTCCAACCAAACCACCCACTTGGCCTTTGATTTCTTCCGCTTTTCCGCTCACCGGCCCGCTGGTTTTGGCTCCTCGCACGTCAACATCCGATTTGATGGATTGAACCATTCCGGCTCGACGAGTTCCTGCACGTCACTGATTGGTGGTTGGCTCCTGGGCTGCTGCCTCCATTCCGTCCCTCTCTCTCTGACGCTCTCCCATCAGCGGCAGCCCATCACCTGCAAACAAATCAGGGGCGCCACTGCCCCCGACCGGTGGTGCCTTGCGTGCGTGCTTGTGGCCTGTGGGCTTGTGGCGAAGGCACCTCGCACCTCTCTCTCTCTCTCTCTCTCTCTGGCCCGCCCCTGCGATCCAAATTGCGTGGAGAGTCCCCTGCTTGCTTTTTTCACCGTGTCTTGTCGTGTGATGAAGCGTGGCGTGTCTGCCGCGGATCGCTGATTGGCCACTTTTTTTAGGCGTGCCATGCAACTAGTGCGATAAAGCCACTGGTGTGGTGCATGATTACCTGGGAATTATCGGATCGAGTGTTGCGGGGGATAGGTACTCAACAACAACAACTGCTGATCCAATGGGTTTGAGTTGCTTGTAACCTGAAGTCTGTGTGAGCTTGGTGGGGTGAGGAGATTCATCTGTTTCAGGTCTTTAAGAAGAGCGACTTGCATACCAGAGAATGGAGTACATTTTAGATGGTGGAGCAGTTTCACCTTAAACTAGTATGCCAGTCACAATCCAAGTATCCAACTGAGAGGAGTGGGAGTGGTTCAGGTTCAGAGCCTTATAAATCTGACAAGGAACAAAATAGTTATCTCGCAAAAAAAAAAAAAAACTAAACATTTTCATTGCAGATTTGGACATGATTATTATGCTTAAACCGACTGGTGATTGAGGACGTTAACAATTCAAAGCAGTTGCAACTGTTTGACGTTGAGTTGTTATTTCTGGAAGAACAAGTATGCCGCCAACTATGATGCAATTAATGCATCTAAAGGTATGATTCGCGTCGCTGTTGTTTCGTGGCCGTTCGATCGGCCGCGCGGACGGTCCAGATCGGGCGAGCTGCGGTCGTTTTACGAAAAACCCTTTTTAGTTTTCGAAAATCAACCCGCGCTCCAGACGTCCTCTCATATTTTTTTACAAAAAACGCCTCATGTTAATTCCAAATCGACGGGCAGTCCAGAACGGATGCACACTGGTTTGTTTGCAAAAAAGACCTCTACTTTATCGAAATTCAACCCACGCTCCATAGACACTCTCATCATTTTTTTCGAAAACATCCTCTGATTTTTCTCAAATCAAAAAACAGTCCACCTTTCATTATTTCTTTTCTTTTCTCCAAAAAATAATATGTGGGGCCCGTGCACCGCGCGCATGGGCGCGCCTGAAGGACTAGTACATGTAGAGTACGTACTCCTATCTCATTGCTTCGTCTCTGTCCAACTCCTCGATGCTGAATTAGACACGACTCAGTGAAAGTTATTGATACTTCCCCATCACATGTCAGTATTTTCTCGATGCCTGTTCGCTTGCTCGTAAACGATCGTAAATTTCCAGTCGGGAACAGTGTTTTTCTCTCACACCAAACCAGCCAGCAGTAAATAATCCACGATACGATACGGCCTCCCGAACAGGCTAAGACTGTCCTCTGTCGTCGAAGCCATACCAAAAGTCAAACATTTTTCGAAGTTTCACCCTTACCACACTTTATTAACCCTTTTTCGTAGCTGTAGCCATTTCCCCCCTCGATCTGGAATAGTGCTCGGGGCTCTGATGTTCACCTAAACCAACACCAACTGTTGAAGCTTTGGGTGAGCGTGTCACTTGGCTACACCCATTACGAACTGAGCAATTAGTGCTCGGTCCCTTGTATTTCTTTTTTATGTAACTACTACTGGTAGCTGCTGGTTGCAATTCTTGTTCTTCCTTCGTTCCATTTCCCTCAAGCATTATGATGCCCTTCAGAAGGTATAGCTTGGAGTGTGCAATTCAAGGACTAGCGTAAAAATACAAGATAATCGAGGACATATATAAATACATATGTTACATGGCCCTTTCTGCAAAATAGTTTTTTTTTTAAAAAAAAGGCCTCAATAGAGTGCTTATACATCATACCTACGGTATGGCCTTGTCAATGTGACACCCAATACATTTGGATGGAACCTTTCATGATAAAAAAGAATCCTCCGCCATCAAGCTCTTACCAACAGTATGAACCGGTGGCACCATTTCTAATTGATTTCATTTTTAAATCTTTAAAAAAAATAAACGATAGATCAGGGCAATTTAAGTCATCAACCACCTTAATTAAGTGGGGGTAGGTTTCATGTTATCGATGTCAATAATTGTCTATTGTTTTATCAGTTTTTGCCTGGTCAATTTTCTATGCTCGTTTCGCTCAGCCTGGTTTAGTTCCATGGCGTAAAGTTTTGGGGTGTCACATCAGAAATTATATGGGGGTGTCGCATGGGGTGTTCGGATACTAATAAAAAAAACAAATTACAGAATCCGTCAGAAAACCGCGAGACGAATTTATTAAGCCTAATTAATATATCATTAACACATGTGTGTACTGTAGCACTTTATTGTCAAATCGTGGACTAATTAGGTTTAAAAGATTTCTCTCGCGGAGTAGTCGTAATCTGTGCAATTTTTTTTTAGTCTATATTTAATA